AAAAAAACGATATATTCGTTGTAATGTTGATAAATCGGTTAGAGATGAAACGGACTGGATACCAACTAAAAATGAATGTCCTAAGACCGTTGATCGAAGATTTAAAATATATAATGAATAAAGGCATTAACAAGATATATAAAGATGAAACCGGTCGAGAAATGACCATGAATTTCAAAATTTGCGTCAGTGCTGTTTGCGATGACAACAAAGGAATTTATGAACTTCTGGGATATCATACACTGTTTACGGGCAAAACTTTTATTTGCAGAATTTGTGTAACCAAAACCAATCAACAAAGACGAACTTGGACATTGTAAAAAACCTATAGATTTTAAAATGTGTTTCTCATCACAGAATTTGATATTTTTGAAAAAAAAACTTGTGAATTTTGTTGGAAATTTGATTCTTTTTTTTTCTTTGCTAAATAATAATTACTGTTTGAATGTGTGTTTTGTTTTTGGGTTAGGTTAGGTTGAATGTGTGTGTGTTGTTTGGTTGGTGTATATAAAACGCATGCAAATCGATATTTGATATTTTTTAAAATTTTTTTTTGTAAAATGTAGATGGCGTTCAAAATGATCGGAAAAATGAGCCAAAAAAAATGGAAATTTGATTTTCGGATATCAAACATGAAAAAAAGCAAAACTCAAATGACAAAAAAATCTTCACTTACCATCAACCACTGGATCCGTCCATTTTTGAATTGATCAATCTTTGATTATCGTCGTTGATGATCGATAATTTTTCTTTAGGGAAACTGGATCGATTGGAAAACAAATGGATTCGATGATTCAAATATCGCCATCGTCGCCGTTATCCATTGATCCACAGTTTAGTTTGGTTGGTCGGTTTGGCTCAACCAATTTCAAATTTCTTTATGTTTTTTTCTTCGGCTGATGGTCGTTTTGTTTCAGGATCATTTTTCTTCACCAACGAAAACGATTCGAGGACCAAAACTTCGGATGATCGGAATCGATGACACAAAATCCCAGGAAAAATATCGGTTCGGGTTCGATTTTAAATATTTTTGTTTGGAAATATGAAACATATACAAAGACAAATCATCAACTTGTTTTGAAAAAAATGATTTTGTGACCATCTTCGTTGATGATCATCAATCGAATGATTTTCATTTTCGAGGATAATCGAAAAATGGATAACCAACCATAAAATCCAAAAAAAACCATAAAAACCAGAGAACAACTTATTCGATTGTGGGCGTGTATATAAACAGTTAAACAACAACGATTCGAAACGAGTATGCGCATTTCTTCTGATTTCCATATTTGGCCAAAATATATTTGGTCAACAACAACGTTAACGTGTTGTTTGATAATGATATTGATATCAAATCGAATATTCAAATTTCAAACTTTGAACCAAGAAAAAAAAAATAAACGGATGGTTGTTGTTCGATCGTATTATCGTTTGTAATAACTTGCTGAACAGACTTTGAACATTCGATAATTCGTTGCGAGAGAGAAAAAAAAAATCTGTTTCGGATCTTATCATCATCAACGTGTGTAACCTTCTTAGATATATAACCTCTAGTGTAAAATACTAGTTCTAGAGGTTCTTTTGAAAAATAAAATTATTATTATTATCATCAACGTGTTTCAATGTTTTGTCTGCCGAATGATTCACTTTCACATATAGAAATTCGACATATGGTTATCATCATAAAACGAAAAGAATGATTGTTTGTTTTAAATAAACAAACAAAACAAAAGTCTCAAATGTACAATCTTTGCGATAAACAAAACAAAAAAAAAAAAAAAAAAAAAAATCGAAAGTTTACTCTAATTTCGTTGTCTGGTTTATAATTTCCAAAGAAGGAAAAAATAATAATGATAATTTTGCTTCATGGAATGTTACTGGTTTGATTCGATCGATTCAATTGATGGTTCGATTGATTTGAATGGTTCGATTGATTTGAATGGTTCGATGTTACTAATGATTAAATTAATGACTAATAACATTCATCCAGACGATTTTAATGATGATGATCATCATCATAATGGTTTTTTTTGTTTTGTCAATCCGTCTAGAATCTAGACTCTAGAATCTATAGATGATGATGATGATGAATAAAGGGTTAATTAACCGAAAATTAATTAATAATTTAATAGTGAATGTCTAGCCATAATTAAATTATTATTTTCAAAATTATTATTGGTTATTTTGGATATTTGAATAATGATTTTCATGACTTTAATGACCTTTTTTGATCTGATTTCAATCAAAAAAAAAATCAATTATTTTTCAATTTGAAATTTGCCATTACACTGATAGATCGATCGAAAGAGATTTGTTTGAACATTTTTCCAATCATCAATCGATCATTAATGATGTTTAATTTGCAAAAAAAAATAATGAAATTTGAATTCCGCGGTAACCAAGGGTCAATATCGCCATCTATTGTCGTCGATTTTATTCATAAATGAATAAAATATCGATTGTATTTCGATTGTTTCGAATGTTTTTGTTTCACAATGGTCATGAGTTTCATTCAATTTTAATTTTGAAGAATTTATATTTTTTTTTGTAAATAAAATTACAAATTACCAAAAAAAGATGAATGATAATATAGAAACGAAAAATTTACGTTTAATATTTATTGGTGCCGGTAATATTGCCCAATCAATAGTCAAAGGATTATTAAATTGTTCATATTTAAATTCGAAACAAATTTTCGTTTATGCACCGACTGAAAGAAATTCACAAATTTTTCGGGTATTATTTTTTTACGATTTATTTTTCTGATTTTTTTCTAATGAATTTTTCCTTTTTGAAAACAAAGGATCTTGGCTGCCATTTTACAACAAATGTACAGAATGTTATTTCATTCGAAACTACCGAATCAAATTTACATTTTTTATTATTTATCTGTGTAAAACCAAATATTGCAAAACAATCGGAATTTTTATCAATGTTTAATGAAATTTTATCGAAAAAATCAAATGAAAATTTCTTAATTGTTTCGGTTATGGCTGGTATAACATTAGAATGGATAGAATCGAATCTTACAATTGAAAATCGATCAAATTTTCGTGATAATTTAGTACGAATAATGCCAAACACAGCAATCGAAATTAATATGGGTACAATTGGTGTCTATTGGAAATCATCGAAATCATCAACAACAAATGATTTATTGATAAAAAAATTATCCGAATTATTAAATCAATTAGGTAAATCGATAAAATTGGATAATGAAGAACAATTACATTCGGTGATTGGTGTTGCCGGTAGTGGTATTGCATTCATCCTAACAATGATACAAGGTATGATTGATGGTGGTGTTGCTGTTGGTTTATCAAGAAATTTATCAAGGGATTTGGTTTTACAAACATTTATCGTATGTGTTGAATATATAAATGATTCATTGAATTCCTGAATTATCATTGTTTTTTTCTCTTCCTTAAAAAAATAGGGTGCAGCCAAAATGATCGAAAAAACCGGAACAAATCCAATTCAATTACGTGATAATGTTTGTTCACCTGCTGGTACAACTATTGCCGGTGTTGAAATATTGGAACAAAATGCTTTAAATGGTACAATAATTCAGGCTGTTAAAAAATCAGCTGAACGTAGTAAAGAATTATCTAAATGAATTTTTGTAATATCCCCGAACAAAGATGGATTAATTTTTTTTCGGCTGGTTTTCTAATAAAGTCTCTCGATTTCAATGTTTGTTTGTTTCTTTCTCTTTGGATAAAAGTAAAGTGGTCAGATATTAACCAAACTGAATCAGTCGTTACTCTGATTACAATTGGCTTGGGTTGTTTGAATTCACAATTTTGTTAAAATTCATAACCCATTAATCATCATTGGTGTCGTTAGTTTTTAAAAAAATCCTAACTGATACAACAAAGTTAACAGGTGTTTGATTTCGATATTAAGCTATTTGTTTGAAATCAAAATCATTACAGGTTTTATTTGATAGAAATTTGATTTTTTATCCATTGATTTTTGGGAAAATTTTTTCAAATTATTCATGATTGATTTTTTCAATAAAAAATTTATTGAATTTTATATAGAAAAATGAATTTTTTTTGATAAAATTTTTGGTAAAAAAAGATTTTGTTTTGAAAAAAATTGAAAAATTTTGAAATTTTCTTTTTCACTTTGCTTTGGACAATACATTGTGTTAATCATGCGCATGTTTCTGTTCCCTGTAAACTTTTTCCATTTTTGAATTAAAATATTTCGGGAATGTTTTTTTTTATATTTCTTTGAAGAAAAAAAAAATTAACACTTTGAACTTATTCGCCAATAACTTATTCATTCACAACATTTCGAAATTCTACATTCGAGCCATGTAAATCAATATTACATAATTTTATATTATCTATTGATTGCTGACAAATTGAATTGATACATTCATCGATACTGGTTGGTAGATTTATTCAATGAAATATCAATATCGATTATTCCAATGTTGAGAAAAAATCCAAAAATAAAATAAAATAATTAATTTAGAAAGGAAAAAAAACAAAAACAAATAATATTATCTTTTAATAATAATATTTATTAATGTGCACTATCCGAAGATATTTGCACGATTTAATTAAAACAAAATAAAGTAAGAATAAATGATAAAAAATAAATGTAATGTGTGTTAAAAGTGTTTTGTATTTATGTTGGATTTTATGTAGATAATAAGCAAAAAGGACCATGGCCTGAGAAGAAGGGTGTAGTGTTTTTGTCAATATTACCATTTGAAACACCTTTCCAATAGTTTTATCACGAAATTTTTTAAACAATTTTTGAAATTGATAATTTCTGGAATGATAATATTAGTATTTGTAAAATACTATTTTTGTAATTATTATTAACATTGTAATTTTTTTTTTTGAACCATTGATATTATATAATTTTAAATTTTTTTGCCGCATGGATACGCGTTCAAATCTTGATGTGTCGAAGCTCGCTAAATTGGCCATAATATTGGAAGAGCATTCGTCAAAAAAAATTAAAAAAAAAAAAAATAGAAAAAAATTTAGTTTGCTATAAAATTGCAGTTATTTTATAATTACAAAAAGGATAACTTATTCATTCACAACAAATATCCATTTAATATTAAATTTTTTAAAAGTTGAAATTCAACATTTCGAAATAAACGTTTCATACCTTTTGGTAAATGACGACATAATTGAAAATTAATTGATTTTAAACTTTCTCCGATTCTCAAACTTTCAACGATTAAACGTTGTAATGATTCGAATGTTAATGGCGAACCATGTAAAATTTACATTGTAATTACATTGTAAATCAATATTAAATAATTTTATAAAATTGCATTTAGAAAACAAGAATTCTTCTTCTTTGCGGCCCAACACTTTCTCATGGAATGGAGTGTAAAACGCTTTTTCAACGTCTTTTAAACAGAAAAAAACATTCGAATTTTTTTAGTTTTCGAACTTTTTAGTTTTCGAACTTTTTAGTTTTCGAATTTTTGGTTTGCCTTTTGTTTGCAACATCATTATCATTATCATTTAAGCTCCTCTCACATGTATACCTTTCACTGTACTGTTCTTTCCCCCCCACAAAATGGGGTCGATTTTTCTCAGTGATATACAAACACACCCCTCAAGTGATAACGATCAGGTAATTTTTACTTTTTTTTTCGTTTGGTCCTTTTTTCTTTTGCCAAATGATAAACAACAACAAAAACAAAACAAAAAAAAAACTTTTTTTTTTGTTGCTAAATATACCTGTATAAAGCAAACTCTTTTTCAAATCGTTATTATATTTTTTGAATATGTTTTTTATTATTGTAATAATAATAACAAATATCATTAACCGTAATGAGAAAATTTCAATTTACAATCAATCAAATGTCTTAAATCTTTCA